CGACCATCCTGGCGCCAACGAGCCACCTGGCGACATCCATCACCTAGTCAAGCCTGGACGCAGATTGGCCACATCGCTGTTCGTTACCGTTGGTGAGGCTACATAACTGACTGCAAGTCAATTTGGAACAGTTACTTAACTTCGGATCGTGCGCTTGTGTGTGCTGAGGTCGCTCTGCGATTTAGAGGCACCTAACAGCGTCGCCGGAAAAGGCTTCACACAGACAAGCTCACTACTGCAAATGTCCTCGGCGCCTTACAGAACACATTATACTCCAACCTGCTTTCTCTATCCTCCGATGTTGTGACACACCGGCCACAGATTCAGAGCGCCTTATGAAAGTTCGCTACCTTGGTCTGTGACTTCACTAGATGAGCTGCTAGTCATTGGATCTCTGCACAGTCTCTCCAATTAATGGAAATCCGTCGAACAATTGCTGCCGGAGTTGAGTGTAACACACTACGCAGAACTACAGGTGCTGAGCTCAGACAGCTCCTCAAAAATGATCGCGAGCTCTGGTGGACAGCGCGTCGATGCGATTGAGCGGGCAGCCTCATTCGGATACTCCAGCAAACTCTTCCAACTTATTCGGTCCATGGGAGGCAGAAGGCTAACAATGAGTGAGGTTTTACGTGAAAACGGCGGCGAACTAATTCACAGTCCTCACCGTCATCTGGTACGCTGGGCAGAGCGCTTTGAAGATCAGTTCAACTGGCCACCAGCACAACTGAGTCCACCTTCCGGGATTCACAGTGCTCCCTGGCGTGCGGATGTTTCTCCCCAGACTGAGGCAGAGATTTCCAATGAGCTTCGCTTACTAAAGCGCCACAAATCACCTGGCCCAGATGAACCTCTTCCTGCCGTTTTCGAATATGTGGCGCTGCTCTCACCTGGGAACTGACATCTTCCTCATCAGATTTGGACTACTGAAACCATCCCATCCAGCTGGAAATTAGCTGATGTTATACCTGTCTACAAAAAGGAGACCAGATCGTTTGCTCCAACCATCGTGACATCAGTCTCCTTTGTGTCGCATCCAAAGTCCTCGCTGGCCTACTCTAGCGGAGGCTCAGCTGCGCACGGGAACAGCACCTGCATGAACAGCAAGCTGTATTTCGCCTGGGCTGCAGTTACGTCGATCACATCTTTACGAGCCGCCAGATACTTCACCATACATTCAGTCGACCAACCATAGTCGTATATATATATATATATATATATATATATATATGTATATAATGTATAATGTGGATAAAATTCATAACATGTTATTTGGTTTGTTCTGCGTACTTGATAATCTTCTCCTTACTTGCACACGTCGCTCACGCAAATTGTGGTAAACTTGCGTAATTTTATCGCGTCGTATTTTTTAAATAACTTTCGGACATTTTGTACTTATCACGGATTCACTTATAACCCATTTCTGCTATATGCTCATTTAACGAGTATTTATGTCGTCATATGCGTTTACTTTAATCGATATCTGCATTTCGAATGATTGGCTGTTATTTGACATCCCAGGTGTAGCTGCGCTTGATGTGCATGTCGACAAGGTGCCTACCTCTCTATTACCCACTACCTCGTACATACTGGCTCCAGCAGACAGTTGGTCGTTGCTGGAGGGGACGGGGTGCACGGTCCTTGTGGTCGTGCTAGGCTCGAAGAGTGCTTCCGTACAGTCAGTGTGGAGCGGACTACGGTCCAGCCACCGCCTTGTGTGCACTTGATTCCCCAACTACAGCGTGCTTGTGTTTGTCTGTGAAGGAGTGTGGGCCGGCTCCGTCGATGAAACGTGGCTCCCATCCGCATGCCTCCCGGTCTTATTCCTTCGGGTTTACACTGGATATGGGGTGTGTGGTTGGAGCTGTGGGTGGTGCAGCGCAAGCCATCCATGGTCCCTCTGTAGGTGCAAGCGTCCTGTGGTTGGCCACAGTGACAGGCAAATCCGAAACCGGATGCCACAAACCATGCATATATATATATATATATATATATATATATATATATATATATTCACAACCTGTTAACAGACCTGGTGCTATCAGAACCATTTCAGAAGAAAAATAGTGGAGGATATAGAAACACGAACTGCGATAAACAATTGGAAAACCATTTTTGGTTTTACATAGGCCACTTTGAATTTTTTGTTGTTGTTTTGTGGGTTTTGTGTGTGTTAAATGGGGATATAATAGCAGAACAACATTGACACCACTGATGTCTGTTGCGGACGCCACTGGACCATGGACTTACATCTACAACCATTCACACGCGCTCTTGCTGCTGCGATACTATTCACTCATGTTACTATGCCAACTTCACAAGCACACGCCACCGTTTTACCTACCCTTCCCTTAACAGAATGGATCTCTGGGTCTGCTTATTGAATAGGGGAGTATCTGAGCAATCCCACAGCATTCTCCGTTCCATTTACTATCGAACTTCTGGCCGCGTACGAGTACATGGAGGCTTTTCGCTCCCTTTCAGTATCACTAGCGGCGATAGACAGGGTTACCCAGCCTCCCCATTCTCGTTCAACTTCGCCATGGACGAGATCCTAGACGTTACCCTGGAACACTCTGAATCCTGCGGCGTTGAACTGCTCCCCGGTGACCGCCTTCTGGACTTGATGTACGCAACTGACATCGCTGGGGTTTGTGAATCCTCCCAGGACGCCCAGCATGTGCTGCTTAGACTGGAGATGTCCATCACCAAATTTAAGTGGACCTTTACCCCTTCCAAATGTAAGGTCTTGTTACAACACTGACTAAGTGCATCTCCTTCACTCACCCTTACAGGCCATCCGCTGGAAGTGGTCGACAAATGCATTTACCATCGGAGTTATCTTAGAATTGACGGTTTGACGGATGAGATCTTTCTGCGTGTCGCCAAAGCGCTAGTGGCTTTCGCTGACCTTTGTCACCTGTTGCTTCCTCCTGACCTCAACCTTGCTCTCAAAGGATAAGTCTACAATGCTGCGGTACGAGCGTTTCTGCTGTGTGGCTGTGAGACATGGCCCGTTCGCAAAAGTGATGTCCAGCGGCTACCTGTCTTCGATCACGGCTGCGTGAGAAGCACTGCTGGTGTTCGATGGCAGCATCACGTCAGTAATGAAGAACTCCGTCGACGAGTCTTCAAATCTGTCAAAATCCGCCGACCAGTTGACAACCTGATTTTACTGCGAAGCCTTTACTAGCTTGAGCATGTGCCTCGCATGCCTAGCCAACAACTACCACGACGTGCCTTATTTGCGAGCGAAGGTGTGGAATGGAAGTGACGACAAGAAAGGCCAGTGTAAAACGTGGATCCAATGTGTTGAGGCGCAAACATTTAAGCTGCGTGTTGTTGGTCCTTCACGAGTCCCGGGTTGGGGACCAAAGGACCCAGGGGACACCTGGTTGCAAACGCTACTGGATATGGCCAAGGAACGTACGCAGTGGCGCACTTGCGATGAGACTCTTCTTCTCTAACAGTCGTTTTCTTTTTCAAGTCATATTTTCTCTCATGTGTTCTGGTACTCAACCACTTGCAATGTAATTGGTAACGTGTTGAATATATATATATATATATATATATATATATATATATATATATATATATAATCAGTCTAAGTTTATGACCGCGCTTTTAGTGAGCCTACAATGCCATGAGCGGGCAAAGCTTAACATCTATTAGACACAATCCCAGAGAAACAGATACCCGAGATTCATTCCAAAATTAAGCGTAATAAAGACCGGGGTTGTATGTTGCAACCTATTCAGCACCGGGTGTTCCATTTAAACCCACGATGAATAATCAAGCCTCGCTTTAGTTAATTGCGGATCGATACACAGTGCTACTCATTCGACCATGTTTAGCCTTTTGACATGCAGTGTCTTTTTCAAACTACAGCTGTGCGTCTTGTGAATTTCTTTTACGCTTACCCACCAGGTCACGCATAAGAACAGTTATCATGTTTGGGTATTGTAATAAATACCGTTCGTTTGTAAACTACCTGTAGCGAAATACAGGCGCACGGTCTGGGAAGTGAAAGAGGCAGAGTAATTTGTACTGATAGACTACGGTTCTGCAATTGTACTTATGAACAAATGAATAAGAGACCCGCGGATAGGTAAGTTCACTAGAATGTCCGGGCGGTGATAATTGCACGAAGAGTTAGGATGATACAAAATGCTCGGACTCGGTAGAAGAGAGCAAAATAAGAACATCCTTAATGTTTGATTCTTAATTAAATTTAAATAAACAAAAGCAAATTAAGAAACAATTAGGTTCACAGAAAACTTTATTACTTTGGTGTTCGTTATAACATTAAAACTTATGCGTTGAACAGAACAGAAATCTCGTCTAAGGCAACAAACCAGGAAAGTATACGTCGCTGAATGAATCTGGGATTGTAAATAAAATAATTGATGGAGGGTTCTTCAAGAGGACTTACAAGTAAGATAGTCTTCCGTACCTCCGAAAGACAATTAGACGGCCAATTCGTCCTATGGGGACTCGTCAGTAGTGCGCGTACTTCGGCTTCAACAGGAACCGAAGCTGTGGTCTCTCGATACGGATATGGTGCATATAACCGCTTGTAGAAAGCCGTGAACCTAAACGCCAACCCTGTGCTCTGTAACGATCGTAACTTGTATGACAGTGTAGTAGGAGTTACGCAATATCGAAATTAGCTTGTAACCCATAGCGGTCAGCCGCCTTCACCCGTGGCTTAATACGCTGCTGGTAGGTGTTTCATAAACCTGAGTTTCGAAAGACCATGGGTTCGGTTCCTGCTACACCGACCGATGCACACTACTGACGAGTCCCGAGGCGGCCAACCGGCCGTGTAATGCTTTTCCGGATCAATGGGTAATATTCATACCCAGAAGCCAATGCGATAGACCCTAGTTTAACTACATCAACTAGCCCATATTGATAAATGGATTAATTCATCCTTTTCCGTTTAGAATTCTCTTTACTATCATAACTACTACTTGTATTCGCATTTCCCCCACTTTCAGTCTGACCGGGAGAAGGTGGAGGGGTTACCGGTTGCTCCGTTCATGGATCGTGACAAAGTTACCAAGTCGTCGGCCCAGATCGGTTTCATCAAGTTTGTCCTAATCCCAATGTTTCAGACTGTGGCCAAGGTAAGCAAACATGTGTGCATAAACGTTTATTCCAAGCCACTGCACTCATCCAGCTAGGATGTCCTCAACTAAGGTCCGACCGGAAAAGGTGGACCGAAAGCCGTATGATGTCAATCCAATTCCACACGAGGCGCGGCTCTACAAAGGACAGATAACATACACTAGTTGTCAGGCTATCCAATCGGAGCCGTGTGCTTAACGGCAAGGGACACACCTGTTTACAACTGGTAGGAATTTACCTCTGCTCTGATAACTGGTAGCCCATAGGTCAATAAGGTGCAGAAAACAAGCTGGACACCTGGTTGTGGACAGACAGGCCAAAATCGCGGTTCGGACATTGGTTAGATTTGCCAGATAAGTTTAGGCACACGGTAAGCTTCCGTTCTTAAGTGGATCACTGTTTCAGCGATGGAACGCGAGGATACACTCATCTCGGGGAGTTTTATGCAACCTGAGTTACGTCAAGACGTTGATGGTCAGCACGTGCATATTCTTCTATAGCATTTCCCGCAGAGTTGCATAAAATGTCCAAAATTTTGCAAAGAAAGTCCAAAATTTTGCAAAGAAGGTCCAAAACTTTTCAAAGAAAGTCCAATGAAAGACAAGCTTCGGAACTTAATTGACATGGAAATCCCGATTTAGATTTTAAATTCATTTGATGTACAGCCCTGCAATGTTGGAGTTAAAATCCATGAAAATCTCATGAAGCATCAAAGTGACGCACTAGCAAGATCCAAATTCATGCAAATTAAAAGGGATTTCTAGCTAAACACTTATGCCTCTTACAGAAGTCCCAGACTGTGAGAAATAGCTAAAATATTTGTGCTTGCTTTTCCATCCAATACTTGGTTGAATGTGCATTCAGCAGAGTTGTTAATCTAACCAAAATACAAACAGATTCGACATCATAGCGAGAGGTTATCTTCGACTTGCTGTCTAGTCTGGAGCTGGACATAAGCAAGCTTGCTCCGAGACATCAAGTTCAAGAGTAGCACTAAGATTTTGCATTTTCTGGATGTAGCCCTGTTTCTGCATTATGACGACACCTAAGCCCATACCTCGTCTCAGAATTACAACTTTTTCATTGCGTAGCTATTACGTTAAGGACTCACAATGATCCTTCGTCATGGTACGTCACTTCTCGGTGTCACTAGCGCACAGCTGTTTGGTAAGTTCTATCCTCGTAGTTGTAAAATAACCACTTGTCTCCTCATTGGTCTTTGTTCAACTGGGAAGATGTTCGTTCAAATGTGCAAACTGAGCCTCGACTGCTATTCTACCACATGGATTTGGTGGAATAGAGAAACAGAACCCTAGGGATGTTTCAACTTGGGGACGACCTACGGGAGAACGAATATCCCGAACTATTTATAACACGACACGCGCACGCAAAACCCTAGGAGAAACCATCAACTGACGTTCCTAAGAAAAAGAGAGCATTAGCCAGCGCACGAATTTAGTCGATAAATCATTGCATGATACATATATTTACAGATTATCAGTGTAATTCTCAGATTTGTCAGCCAACTTGATGTTCGAAGTGCCAACCGGCGTTTTGCGCACAGCGCAGCATTCGCCTGATGGTGTTTGCTAGCACTTTCTCCAAGTACCAACCGTGATCCTACGACATTCGTGCAAAACGCTGCGTTACAATTCCTCAAGATAGTTTGGCTACCTCTTGTAAACATGTTGTTTCAAGTAACCCCAGAGGAAGAAACCCAAAGGGTTCAAATCTGTTGACAGAGTAGGCCACTCTATAGGTCCTCCCCGCCCGATCCAACGGCAACAGAACGTCTGTTTGAGAAAATCACGCACTGTTTGTGCATAGTGTGTAGGTGCGCCATCTTGTTGCAATCAAAGAGTACTTAATAACCCAGCGGCTGCCATTTCCGGAATGACACAATTCTTCAATAATTCCTTGTAGGAGGATGCTAGAAAATGCAAGGCATTAGTACTGCGAAACAACAAACTACCGGTTACATTACCGTAAAAGCAAAATTGTCTCACGATTCTTTGGCCAATAAACCCAGCCCATACCATGAGTTTTGCGCCATGTATACGTGAAGCGCTGCATCGGCGTAGATTGTACGTTTCCCAAAACGGTTGCTTCTCCACACCGTGCAAAGCGAAATCAGTCTCATCGGTAAAAAGAATTGAATGGATGTCCTTGGCATTCCAAAACCTGAGGCAAAAATGAAGCAACTTCTCTGAACCACATGGGTTTAAAACATGCACTTTATGAGCGCTATACTTCCGGAATTTCCTTTCCTTCAAAATCCTACGGACATGTCTGCTGGTGTCGCAATGCTGGGCGAGTTTACGAATGCTCAGATCGTAGCTTCTGAACAACGCACGAATAACCACACAAGCAGAAATATCATCCGTGGTGATGCGAGGCCGCTCTGTCCTTTTGGCGTCGCACACGCACCCAGTTTTCTCAAATTTTCTCACCAGCGTACGAACCTATCGTCCGTTGATGAGCCACTTGGTACTGTGGATAGTGGCAACTACTTTTGCCACCCAAGGGAGTGGCAGCATAGGCGCTTGAAGGCCAAACGATCGGCAAAGAGCATACCAGTTTTCGATGCAAACTGATATGCGCTAGGGACCTTGAGGTGAATGTGTTGAAAGTGACCACTATGGAACAAATAAGAGGATCACTGGGAAGAACGTTTGCACAAGTGTGACACGTGGCGCAAATGTGTTGTTGACCATACAAAGTAACATTAATATATTCAACCCACAGCTTATCCGGATAATTTGCCCTTCATATTTGGTATCCAACATACGACGGTAATAAAAATGTGGCCCCGTGTCACGTGCCGCCGTGGGCGGACCGCCTACGCGCACCCATACTGCACCACTGAAAAAGAAGCAACCAAAGGTATTCAAAACGGATTAGTCATTTCTTCGTCTGCATAATGCAACTCCCCGTCATTAAAAACGATCACGTGTTGTGAGTCCAGCACCGACAACTTAGCTCAATCATCGGTAGTTGCTCATCCAAACTCAAACCGAGTGCACTGAAAACCAAATCGCTTACACCGGAGCTGCATCACCAGGTTAACAACGATGTAGATGACGTTCCTACTTAAAAGCGCTTAGTCGAATGTGCCAGTAAAGCATGTGAATGTTTAGCCGATAGCAATTAAGGACCTAAGATAACCGCTCATTTTCTCGCGAACAACACTGGAACTAAGTTTCGACAGATCGCTCGCCTAATGTAATATGTGTCATATCGTGAGTACCCAGGGCTTCCGTGTCCGGGCGTACATTGGGTCATCAAAGACCCAGGGGGTTGAAAGGCGCAACAGACCGTTCCATATCAACCACCTACTTAGGTGTCGGAGGTGGATGGAGAGTGCGCCTGATTTATAGCTCGTGGTTAGCTGCACGGTGTAGTCACAGCTGGCGATGGAGGACGGAGCATGAGGTGTGTGGATTGATGACGATAACACGCACGAGATATTATTGCAACAGATGTCCGGCTATAGCCGTATCATTTACCCACGTGGAATTGGGAGGGAACGAAATAGCAACTTCACTTGCAAATGCCAAATGCTATACGAACGCACGAATTGGTTTGCGTCATGCGGAGCCACTCATCCCTGTGCAGACGCTGCAATCTGACGAGTAAATGTGATTCGCCGAAGCGAGTACATTTTATTTGCAGCTTCAAAACACCTTCTCACCGCAACTATGTGGTGTGTTCGAATACGGTCTACAACTGACAAATACCCATCCGGAAATATTTCCCTACAGTGTGATAAACGTTAGTTGTGCTTGCCCTACATGCTGTACGTTTCCGCATGCAGCGTCCAGCCGTCTGCGTTGGTGTAACGGGCTAAGCAATTCGGCAAACGGCCACACACACTACCCATGTCCATCAAGTCTGCATAGTTCAAGTTTCTTATTTATTATGCCCTTATCAAAGGCCTTATCTACTGGCTCTCCAAACACAAGCAACGACAGGCGGTAGAACATACTTGCTTGTTACACAACCGTGTTACAGTGGCATCGGTTTGTTAAGCCCTCACATTTTTCAGTGGATGGCAAGTATCAAAAGTGAAGTGTAGGTAGGTCCTTAACTGGTCACAATCCGTAGACACATCGGCGTCAAAAAATATACTAACTTCTGGATGGGAGCATTTCTTTTTTTCGATCTATATTCTGAGGTGAACCTTGTCTTCAAACTTGGACTTGGGGAATCCGCTGTGTGTTTGAGTTGCGACACGCAGCCTCTATTGAGACTTGGTTCATTTGAGGTAGTCCTCTGTCATTCCGATCGCAAGGACCATAGCGGAAATCGAAGTATTTCGGTGTTGCTCCAAACACTGGAACAACATGACCACGGGTTTGTCCTGGTTTAGACTCATCCGGTAGAGATAGCCTGAGCTGGAGTGGAACTCAGAGCCACGGCTGAGACCGAGGTCTACCTCAATTAAACCGAGGTCTCAATAGAGGCGGTGTGTAACAACCCAACCACACAGCGGGTTCCCCAGGTCCAACTTTGAATTTCTTTCCTCTGTACCAGGCGTTGTTCGTGGATTTCAGTGGCATAGCGTTTATGGCATCAGCCGTTAGCCACTAGACTCTGAGTTCCACTCCAGTTCAGGCTATCTCCATATGAACCTCGTCTTCTTTCACACATGCGAAATTTACAGCGAGTAATCTCTATGTGATTTACCTTGACGTAGACGACAGGAGAGAACTTATCATCTGAGTGACCAGACCTACCGATCAGTGCCTGACTGCACACAAAAAGCAGTTTCGTATTGTGAATAAGTTCATGGTCTAGGGTTGTTTAGATTTTCAAGGATCCCCAAGTTACTAGTAGAGCACTTAGGCAGCTGTATTAACGCCCTTGTGTTCGAATATGAGATCACCAACCTCATAGAAAAAGCTGGTGGCGCTTTTGTCAATCTTCACCACCTATGATGCATGCGGGACATCGCTTTCTCCACGAAGGGCAGAGTTTACAATGCATCCGTGCCTTCATCCCTTCTGCACGATTGCGAAACCTGGCCTATTAAGTCGATAGACATAAAGAGATTAGT